GACTTCTTAATTTGGTTGGGCTGGTCAGATCCTGCACTGTCTTATTATCTCATACATAAGCAATTTCTTTTTATGTCTCTTATTTATCAAGTCCCTGACCCTTTGTGACTTCTAGTCAGCCAAACCGGAATTTTTTTAAATCCTCCGGACTGAAGCTTCTGCCTGAGTATAAACTTAATATCTATGAGCTTAAATAGCTTACGTCTCTTACTCTCGTAAGTTTCCACTTATTACTGAATAGAAGCCTAATAAATTTTATAATTAACTTTCTCCTAAAGGCACCTAATTATTAGGTTGCAGGACTATGGAGAGTTTAAAAAACAAATAGTATGATTGAATTACAATTGTCTTCTTTTTCAGACTATATTCGAAGCTTTGAAGACAAAGTTTGTATTTTCACTGTCTTCTTTCGTTATTTAAAAGTTGTAAGCCCTTGTTTTCGTAACTTGATCGTATTGTCAGAGAAACCTAGAGAAACACACCCTATTCGGCATCCATAGTATCCTTGATAATATCCAGAGTCGGACGGTGGACTTTATGCGTTCCCATACGTATTTGCATGGTTAATGAACCTTGCCATTCTTACTACCATATGACAACGCGTAAAATTAACATGTTAAATCAATCATTTAAGCTATTGTTTGCTAAGCAATTATGATATAGTACTTTCTTTCCAGGTGCACTTACCTTTCCTATATCCTCGTATCCTCCATTATTACAATTTATTATTCCCTTATTTAAATCTAGTGCCATTCAGACTTTTCACGTACCTACCAAGAAAGTTATGAAAACTTACGAAATTAAGAAGCGTGAGCTATTTCGGTTAATTGGCATTAATTCCGCCTTTAGGCATGTCCTAAGCATAATTCTCACTCTAGAGGATTCTTGAATTTGAAAAATCCATTTATTGTGTATGTGTTAAAAATGCATACATGCGTTAAATAATCCTAGATTTTATTATTTTATTATTACTAAAACACGCATATATTCAAATAATATTCAGAAAAATGTATTTTTTGAAGACATGAAGACCAAGATGGTGTGGCTCTCGGTTTCGTCGAAGTCTCCTTTTGATGTATAATAGTTGATTGGCCTCGTTTTTGCAACTTGATCTCATTGTCAGTAAGACTTGGTTAGACGCCCCTTGTCCAAAGTCCTATACCATAGTAAGCATCATAATTCCCAGCATACCAAGTCTACGATCTGGCACTAAAAATTATGATTTCTACCATGGCAGAGGGCTTCGGACAAGGTGCATTCAACTAAATCCCCCTGACAACAAGATCTAGTTTCGAGAATGAGGTCAACCCACCTGAATGCATTTTTCATCTATACATTTTATGGATACCATAACTAAACTTAGTCGCTTATTTTTAATTAGTCTCACTTAGTTATAATATTTATTGGTCTCATATAGCTTTCTAGGTGGTTTCCGCAATATAAATAATGCTGTAAGGGCACATATACTAGAACATTAAAGATATAAGTCGGTTCCGAGACTATATTTACTTAATGAATAAGAACTTATACAATATGAAGTCACTCAAATCAGAACTATGTACCGTTAGTTATTGTCCTGGCATATATATGCTTGGTTTGTCACCATTCCTATTACAAATATGATTTTAGATAGGCCTAACTTGTCGTTAATTTCACATTTGTCTTGTAAACGACAGTCTCTTTTCATCCATTTGGTTAACCCTGAATTAGCTTAGATTATACATTTTAGTTAATTTCTTTTGACTTATTAATGTATTGCTAACCAAAGTGCTGTGAAAATAAACTAATTTTCTACTTTTACATTATGCGAAATTCACAAACAGATGGATCCTCCATTGACTGGACAGATAATTTATGGCAGTCACGTCACACTTCCTCTCTCGATGACTCCTTCAATACTAGCCGGGGAAAATATCTCTTTTTACTCACAATAATCGTACCTGTGTGTGGACTCGTTGTTCTTGCTCTTCTCATTACTCTGCTAGTCGTTTTTTGTACTCAAGTACGACTCCGGCGGCAGCGCCAGCTGCAGCAACAACAGCAGCAGCGGTTGGTGCCCAGCCAAAGTCAAATTCAGACTCTAACGGATGGAGCTGTGGTCTTTCCTGAATCTCAAGCAACTGCAAGCACAGGCTTTGGTCTCGGTGGCTGCGCGAATAACGGAGCCGCTGGACTTAGCAGCGTTTCCTTTTTACAGGCAGGACTGAATGGAGCATATCTGGACCAGAAGGCTCGTCTGTTCGAATCTGAGTTAACAGCCAGACTTGGTGGCCAGAATGGTATAGTAACTCCAACACATACGAGTCTTATTCCGCAAATGCCATTTCCGCTCGACGTAGATCCAAATGGATCAGCACCGCCTCCAGGACCTACGCATCCTTCACTTCAACCACCGTCAACAATGTCGATAACTCAGGTTCCATCTGGTGGTGGGTCTGATACAGCAAACTTTCTTATTCCGTCTTCTTTGCCTCACACAGTTGTTACTGGAGTAGCGCAGGCGAACTTGCTAATGACTTCGCCAAGGAATTCAGGTTTCAGCTATTTGTCGTCGATCGGTGGTGCAGGAACTCCTGCATTGGGGGCTGCATACATGCCATCCATGCTAATGGGGCCTGGCTACATGACACATAGGCCGAATTTTGGTTATTTAGATGAATTAGCCGCAGACTACCTTCCAGAATCTAACTATCAGAAGCCGGTTGTGCCTGCAAATGCGGCCGCGGCTGCTGCCTATGTAAAGGGACTAAATGGGCTTCTTTATTCGCAGGTCGAAGCGGCAGGATCCCTTGACTATCCTCCAAGATCAAGGCTTAATT